GTAGGGGGGAGGGGTTGTTTTTGGTTGTTTGGTTGTTTTTGAGTCGGCCTGGTCTATAGACATAACAGAAAACGTTAATATTCTTGTTTGCGGCCTCCAACGATTCTTTTCGACCACAATTGTCGAAAGCAAGTTTACGAAAGCTTAAAATCCGTTGTTATCTAGCCAAAAGATCGATGACCAATATTCACTTTTTGCGTTCCGACTTGTATTCCCACAATTCGAACCGTTAATACAGAAAATGTATCTTGCTAACTTGTCATATTCTTGTTAGTTTTATTAGATATTCAATGCAAACTAATTCATTTTTGCCAATATTCTCCTAAAAATATATTTACTCATACAAGTTTATTTAACTATAGTCTGGTTCATTCAAGAACTCTTATGAATACTGCCGAATTTAAAATTTTAGAAAATTCTAATCGATTTATAACTATAACATTCTACTYGTCATCTTCGGGTACATATCGCACCTGTCGAATCTTTCCGAGTTTCAACCGAGCAAGCTCGAGTTCTTTCTCGATACGAAGTACTTGTTCTTGGGCTTCGAGCTCCTGTGCRATACCACCRACAAACCGCTGGTTAATRATRACTGTGGTCTCTTCTTCTTCGAATATGGCGGCGTTCTTAGCAGCTCTGACKAGGTTRTCAGCGGCCTGTTTGACGGCATTACCAGCAACCTGAAACGAAAATTCGCAATGAATATAAACTCGAACAAACTATATAAAAGTCATTCTAGAGTAAACACACTAAATGTGAAAGGATACTAATTTATGTCAACTTTTGTGCTTTATTTAGCGTTTACTAATCTTTACGACAATACAGACCTTAAAATACACCGTGTCCACGTACGGGTAACTTACCATTACCAGTGACCGCATAAATACTGGTTACCGGGTAGATATATTACATTACATGCCRTCGACGTCCTTTTTTGTGGAAACTGCGATATACAGAAGCTCGCCTACCCTCCCTCATCCGTAGATCATTGAAACGGTGTATCTTAACGTCTTTTTTTTTTTTCAATAAAATGTCTAACATGTAGAAACATTTTTTGCATTTCTCCATATTTTAAAGTATTTTGTATTTACTATTCTATTGGAGTTAAACCAGAAAAAAATCTATGAAATTACGCATCGTTAGAAATTTTTCAGAGGAATTGAGATGGATTTACTTACAGCGGCTTATTGAGCTAAAAAAAAACAACTCAACGTCTTAAAGAGCGAGATAAATTTCCATCAAAGACCTGTCACGAGTTTTTTGATATATTACGTACTGAAAATCGTACTTACAGTCAATCATAAAAATCAACATAAATTTGACGATAAAAAGTTGAACCTAGTTCCAGACTGGGCGTGAAAAACCGAAAATGAGTTTTTTTATCGAAATAACAGCTTTATTCCACATTATAAACACAGATTAAAAAACTTATCAAGTTTAATTAACTAGCCAGATAGCTATCAACATAGTAAAATTAATGTAAATTGTCTTTGTACACATTGTTTAGATTTCTCTCATTTYAATTCWCTGTGGTGGCTTTAGAAATAATCAATTGACATCAAATTGATGAATTGTTTAGTGTTGAGCTTAGAGATATAGACAAACTTCAAATTCATCGGAGTTTCGAACGAATGTTCTAGTTGATTTTCGTAAACTTGTCTTTCTTTCAATGAGTYTTAAATCGATGAGCCAGTTTTACTTTCTCATTATTTAAAAGGTCAGGGGGAACAAGAATACCAATAAAAATACGTATATAGGGAGCATTCTGCAAGCTCAATGCTCTTACAATAAATTAATGTACAGTATATAATTAGCTATAAAAAATTATTCAAATCAAATTTCTAGTTTTAGACTTGAATTCTGAAATAACATCAGTGGGTTTGATGTAGGAGGGTAAAGAGTTTAGTAGCGCACCCATATAGAAATTGCTCTATCGCCATATGATTAAATTTCGGTACGTTATTTATTTTTCAGATGGTCAGAGGTTCCGTGAAGGTTCATATGATATAAGCAAGCTGGGACCGGTTGTATGAATAATGAATAGCGCTTTCTGCTGGACAAATCCTTATCCAGTAGATAAAATCCATACTTGATGACACTTCGTAAAACCGGCCCCTGAAAATGTAATCTGGAGCCAAAC